ACAGGGTTGATTACTTATAGGCAGCTTCCTTTAAAATAATATAGTGATGAACTTCAATCTATAGTACAGTTAAATGACTTTGGATAATTGTTCAAGTTGATCTTTGCTTTAGCTAGATATAAGGTGTAGTGGTCTGTGGCTATAGGAAACTGGTTGTACCGTCTCCTTCCCATTCTGCTTAAAAAAATGTCCAGCTTCAAGAATATAGAGACCAAGTTTACCACTTCAATGAAGAGACCAATTCTGTTTCTATACCATGGAGAAGCACCCTCATGAAATAAAATGAAACTAATTACATGCCCTAGTATGTATTGGTTTCTCCCTTGTGCAAAACTGAGCAACTGATCCTCCGAAATGGGGAACCTGACAGTTTTAGAGCTCTTGTCCCGTTGCATTTAGCTTTCAAGTTAGTAGGTCCTAAAGGCTTTTTAATAGCAGGCTTCCAAAAGCTTGAATTTAGGATTTTTAGCATACTTTAGTTTCAGATTTTCAGCTGTCTAAAACTAAAGTACATAGAGATGAAGACTCGTGCCTATGACTTTTACTCTAAGACCAGCTAATAAAGGACAAAAGTCTTCTTCCTGTGTTTCATCAAGATTCAGTAGAAAATAATTTTCTCCCACTCATTTTTCAGTTCTCATTTTATGGTAATGTTGGCTGCTTGGTCCCCATAGATTGGGTCTAGGAGGTGGTGACTATGCTGGCATCTGACTGTTTTTCCTAGATATTTCTCTAAAGATTATAAGGGCTGTTGGTGAGAGCAAACTTGTGTACATGATAGATGGCCTTAGGTCTATAGCGATGTTCTAACTCTTGGAAAGCGTTTTAGAATCATTTTCCCTCTCAGTAGCTAGATATTTAGAGTAGTTGAAATCTGTGGAATGAACCTTTTAAGGGCCGAAAATGTGACATATTTGGAAACAATTCTTTAACTCTGATTAACTAGCTGTAATATAGTTCTGTGAATTTATTGCACTGATGCTGTAAAACCTGGATCTTGTGGTATATCTGTCCCTACATAAGTGTTTTCTCCCCTTCAATATTGCTGTCAACAGTGGCACCCATGTAGCATATGTTTGAGTTTTTTGTTTCATACTACAAGCTACCTTAATTTACATGTGTTTCCTCATTGTAAATAAGCCTGTCTTCTTATCTGGATTTTTTGTGTGTATACATGTTCTACCACCTACTTTTGTGATTTTAATTCTGTATTACTCCTTCTACTTCGTTTTGTGAAAAGGGGAAAAATAAAAGCTGGTATCCCTTTTTGTGTCCTGTTTCTTTCTACCTTAGCCAGTATAATATTTACTTGAGTGGATTTATGGATCTGATTAATGAACTATCTTGTGTGATCAATACATGCCTATAAGGTACTCTTTAAGAACAAAATAAAAGGTTTAAATTTATTCATTCAGCAAACATCCAGGCAAAATGCTAGATGCCAAAGGAAATGAATAAGTGATAACCAAAGATGATGTGTGAGAAGGCCAACCAGGGAGAACAGGCAGGGAACAATGCAGGCTCAAGGGAGAATGCCTGCCATGGGCACCTCTGTACCCCAGGGTACACGAGGTGCTCAGTAAGTAAGTGGTGGGTGACTTGTATGTACTTTAAACTTTTTTTTTTTTTTTTTTTTTACATTAGAGCTCAAATTGGATGTTTTATCATTGGACCTCACTGTCTACTTAGTGTATCCTGGGAACAGATTCAATCAAATTACATTCTGAGGCCTACATCCACCCCCCACCCGCACCCCCCACACATACGAAAAAAATGTATGATCCTTCTTTGGAGCCTCTTGGGGATTTGTTGTAATTCCAAACAGGGAAGTCTCAACACAAAATCACCATCGTTGGTTGCCTGATACTTGGAAATGCTGTATTTATACCATGCAGTTGTGATTACATCTCAGGCTGGCCAGTCACACTGGCTGGCTTCCTTCCCATGCCAGTCTGGCTACGCCTGTGCCAGTTATGACCACAGCGAAAGTCCCGTTTTGACACTTGCTTTGGCATTACTTCCAGTGATGGTCCTATCATCCCAAATGCACAAAATGTCGAGAGGAGGCTATTTGGAGATAGTTGTGCTAAAAAGAGTAAAGATTTGGTAGTTTTTAGGTCAGGTGCTTTAATGCCGATTCATCTTCCACACAGTTGCCATTTGTTTAGCCTCACCTGAGGATATGTCTATTGATTTTAGAGAGGAAGGAGGAGAGAGAGAAATATCGGTGTGAGAGAAACATTGATTGGTTGCCTTCCATATACGCCCTGACTGAGGATTGAACCTGCAACTTAGGTGTGTGCTCTGACCAGGAAAGGAACCTGCCACCTTTTGGTGTATGGGATAACTCCAACCAACTGAGCTGCCCAGCCAGGTCTAGTTGTCATTTAACAATCAGATCATGATCAATCCTATTTGAAGCCCTCTCAGCAGGTTCCAGTTTGCCTACAGCATAAATCACAAACTTGTAAGGCAGTTTATACCTGGCCATCTGCTCCAATTCTACTCCTCTACCCTACTTCCCAATTCCAACACAGCCATTCTGAGACTTCTGTTCATCTTTATTCCATGCCTCCTAGTTCTTGGAGCTGTTGTAAAGCTAGAATATCTGCTGCCCATTCATCCTAACATTTCATGGTTCAGGTAGACCTAGATCCAACCCCCCACCTTTTTTTTTGACTTTTAAAACTAAAAAAATAAAGATTGAGTCAATTTAAGATTGAACTTCGTCTTCTCATTTGTGAAGTAGGGGTAATAGTATAGATCTCATAGGTGCAGTATATGATCTCATTTGTTTTGTGGATTCAATAAATTAATCTACAGGAAGCACTTAGTGGCAGTCACGAATTAGAAGTTGTTAGACTTCACAACACATCAAATTGCACTTCCTCTGTGAAAGCTTTAGCAACATCCCAGGCCACCTCTGCATTTCCACAGCACTTCATATTGGCAAACTAATGGCACATTGGCTGGTATTGTGTTAAGACTTCTGTCTCAAGGCAGGAACGTACTTTTGTCCCCTCACTACCTGGTACATGATATTCTGTTAAGTGAATGGGTGAATGAATTAAGTGTATAAAGAGATAGTGGATATTGCTATTTTCCTATTTATGATAAAGCTCTTAAAGTGAATTTATTCACTTAACTCCCCACTATTGCTAAGGCTCTCAAAGTGAATTCCACAGTTTTAGCAAACAAAACATGTAAGTGCAGAGGAACCAGTTCTTCAAGGAAATGTTCATTTAAAAAGCAAATGGTCCTTTGTAATATATATTTAGACAGAGAATTCTATATCCCTGAGATCTCCAAATTGGGAGCTTTGCTTTCCTGCGGTTCACTTAGGATTTGAGAAGTGGTGTGTTAGGCAGAGGCTTTATACTAAGGAATGTTAATGTTGATGAGCACTCGCTCTGCCTTACCCTCACAATAACTTTTTTTAAAAAATATTTTTTTTATTGAGAGGGAGGGAGAGGGAGAGAGAGAGAGAGAGAAACATCAGTGATGAGAGAGAATCATTGATAGGCTGCCTACTGGGCAATCAAGCCCGCAACCCGGGCAAGTGCCTGACCAGGAATCGAACCTGGGACCCTTCAGTCCTCAGGCCCATGCTCTATCCACTCAGCAAAACCGGCAAGGGCTCCTCATAATAACGTTTAAGAGGCAGGTATTATTACTATCCTCAGTTTATATCTGAGGAAAGTTCAAAGAGGATGAGACATACAAACTGGTTCTTGTCCTGGTGTAGACAGGCAGATAAAAGCCACCCGCTCCGAATCCTGAGTGTTTATTTAGAAACATTTGTGACTTTCTTCCAAATGTTTTTTCCCAGAACTCACAAGAAACGCCTGGAGCCCTAGTAAATAATTTCTAAAATTTAGGGAGGGTCAAAGAGGAACAACAGATTACAAAAAATATTTTTGACTGCTTTGAAAATGTAATGTATACACACATTTCAAACAACAAAACAAACGTATAGGGAGAAAAGCAAGTCTTCCATCCCAGTTCCTAATGCCCTTCCCCAGAGGTAATAACCGATTTCTGTGGGTCTTTCCAGAGACACTATAAATACGCAATATTAAAATTTATTCTAAATGGTGAAGTTATTGCAATAAAAATTAGCAAACATAGGCCCTTGTTGTCAGTTTTTTATTTTACAGATTAAGTGCTAGAAGGGAATGGACCAGTGGTTCTCAACCTTCTGGCCCTTTAAATACAGTTCCTCATGTTGTGACCCTCAACCATAAAATTATTTTCGTTGCTACTTCATAACTGTAATGTTGCTACTGTTATGAATCGTAATGTAAATATCTGATATGCAGGATGGTCTTAGGCGACCCCTGTGAAAGGATCCTTCGACCCCCAAAGGAGTCGCGACCCACAGGTTGAGAACCGCTGGATGCCTTCCCTCTCTATCCTCTACCCATGGCCTCACCTGGTAAGGTCGATGCTATCTACTCTCTATTGCCCATGCCTGAGGAGGCTCCACCCTTTACCCCTCCTTCCACAGTCTTTCCCCGCCGGGCCCTGGTGGTGCTTTGAAAATCTCGCGAGATCCTGCCCGCTTCCCATAACTCCGTGCGCTCGCCCCTCCCGTTCTCTTTCCGCCATCGGTCCGTGCCGGTGAGTACCTCTGCCTGGGCAATCCAGCGTCATCCGTCGGCTATCGGCGCCATCCTGCAGTCTGAGACTCGACTTCTGTGATCTGCGAGGATGCTGGGCCGTGTCTGGGCCGAGGATACGGGCCTTGAGGAGCCTGGGCAGGCGTAGGGGAGAGTCGGGCTCGGTGCCCCACGCTCAGTACCCGGGAGCTGCCTTATCGGGCCCAGGCCGCAGCGCGGGCGGGAACCGGAGAGGCGGTCGCCCCGCGCGGTCAGCGGCGCCGGGATCTCCCCGGAGTGGCCGAGGCGGCGGGAAGCGTTGGGCACGGGGACTGTCGTGGGCCGCGCATTGCTGCGGTCGCGCTGGGGGCTAGTGAGGCTGGGGACTCGGCAGGAAGTACTGCTGGGGAGGCAGGCAGTTCGCTGGGAACTAACCTGCAGCTTCGGTGCTCGAGGGCTTCCCCTCCATCACTCGGTTGAGCTTTAGGAAGCAGATTGGATCCCTGCCAACCTGTCTGGCGCTTGAAGCTTGATCTGGATTCCGTCCTCACTTTGCAGAACTTGGTCAAAGTGTCTTGCAGTTTGTGCCCATGCGGAGCGAGTCCGCTCTGGTGCACTGTTCGCCACTGGTACACTTCCTGTTGCACACAATGTTCTATGGCACAGAGACCGACGTTTTCTCTTTAATAGTCACGGGTGTTGGGTGGAAAGTAGTATCTTTTTGTAAATTAGGACAAGACTAACATTGGGTTAGTGGATCAAGGGACAGTGTTAGTACAGGGGCTGCTGGGTTTCAGAAGTCAGGAGAACGTTGTCGGTGACTCTCGGCTCCCGTGCGGAATAGCGGACGGACCGTGTCTGACATTTTCGTTCAGGTAGCCGACATTCCGCTGGGGATCCTGGGGAACAGTCCTGAGAAATAGGAAAACTTGGTCATGATAGAGGCAGAAAAAGGGATGTGAAAGGACTGGGTGCTTGTTGACGTTAGCAGTGACGGTAAACTCTTGTCTTCCCTGAACAGCCATAATGGTGCGCATGAATGTCCTGGCTGATGCTCTGAAGAGTATCAACAATGCCGAAAAGAGAGGCAAGCGCCAGGTTCTCATCAGGCCGTGCTCCAAAGTCATCGTCCGGTTTCTGACCGTGATGATGAAGCATGGTAAGTTGCTGTGTTCTGTGTGCCTGGGGACTGTTGGCGATGGATCTGGGCTGTGCCTGGAACAGCCTGGAGAGATGATGCTGTTGAGGAAGCACTGAGGATGTTAATTAGGATGGTTGGAAGGAGAGGTGAAGTTTGTGACTTGCTCTGCTAGGTGTTTGGGGGTTAAAATGGCCCTTCACCTGCGATGAGGCTCCTGAGCTCATCCAAGAGCTCCTTGGGATGGAAAGGGTGGTTGCATGGCTTGGGCGCAGGGTTGCCTTTGGAAGTGGGAAGGTCTGAAGGGGCAAGGGCACATAATCCACTTGGAAGAATTGCAGGCTGGGTTTTGGGTGCTGCCCCCTGAATTTTCAATATTACTTACGCTGTAAAGATTAGTTCTGGTACAGAGCCACTTTCTTTCCCTAAACTTCTTGGAGAAACGATAACTGAGATGCGGGAAAAGAATCTAGTAGGCAGACAGCAGGAATACTAGGAGTGTAAATATTTAGGTCTCCCAAATTGATACCTGCCATTTAATACAGTTCGTTATGTTCTGTAGGTTACATTGGCGAATTTGAAATTATTGATGACCACAGAGCTGGGAAAATTGTTGTGAACCTCACAGGCAGGTTGAACAAGGTAAGAATTTAGTATTTTCCACCTTTAAGAATTATCTAACGTGGTTTGACGTCTTGTAATTGCCCTTGTAAAGCTGAATAGTGGTGGTGTGCTTGTTTTACCTAGTTAGGTGAAGACTTTAGGAATTGATTAAAATCATTAAATTTTATATCACATTTTACTTGCATTTGTTCTCCAGGATTGCACTTGCTGTAGAATTGTTGACCTAGGGTTTGTGGAGTGTGGGCTGTCTAAAGGGAGATATGGGAGGGTTGGGGTGAACCTGGTGGTACTGGTAGTTGAATGTTACTGTAGTGCCTGCCTCACTGGCTTGAACTTGGGTGGCCAAGGCCACTAATGCTCTCAGTGTATAAACTTTTGTGCCTTCCTCTCATGGTGATTGTGTTGGGTTTTTAGACAGAATGGGGTTCTCTATCAATATTACTACTCTATTTGCTGTGTGTGTCTGAGGTCTGTGTTCCCTTTCAGTTTGAGTTGTCAGCATAACCTAGTAGATCTATTTGATTTATTTGGCTTTGTGGTTTAACTGATTGCAGGTATTTTGGGAGCAGGTGTCTGTAAGCTAGTCAGGGTCCCTGAGCTACTACCCTGCTTTCTGTTCATGTTTGTAGCTTTCAGATTTGCAGGGAGTCTGAACTCCTGTAGTCCAACATACATAGGGGCGGGGGCTCAGAAATTGATTCCTGGTTAGAGGCAGAGGTCAGATTGATTGGTAAGGTTATTTCCTTATCCAGATTTCTTTTACAAAGTTGCTCCCTGTAAAATGAACTTGCTTCATGTGTGGGTAGACACTTGGTGTTGGATGAAAACTTCTGGATATGAGGCCTTCATGAGAGATTTGAAGAGTTGTCCAGAGTAACTAAGTATGTTGTTTTATTCTAATTGTAATCATTAGACCACAACCCCAAAGTAAGATTTAGATTCACTCTTTGTTCTTGAAGTGTCAGTGTTTTTCCTATTTTTTAGGAATTAGGAAGCTGGGATCTGAGCTCTGTTAAGGTCTCTCGGTTACTTAGTAACCAGTGGGAGACAGTTTTATAGCATATCTTCAAACTGTCCTCAGAAGATTGCATTTCTATAAAATTAAAACATTTCTCTTTACATTGGAGAAATGCTGCGTACCAAATTCTTCTTGAACATTTCGCTGTACGTAATAGTTTGAGAAGTAAGTTTGAACAGAGCATTTCCCTAATGGAACTCATTTGTGGCATTCTTGTTCTGTGGTATACTAGATTGACAAATTCTGGCTAAAAGATAGGTTCTGCCACTTTGCTGTCTGACCGGGCAAAACCAGTATCAGTTTCTCAAGATTCATCTGTTAGGGAAGGGTGTGCTGGTAGTTTAATTCCACTAGTTGAAGGAGAGCAGCTTTTCTGCTGGAATAAAAAACCTGGGTGCTGTGGAGTGGAGGCTCAGAAAGGTCTTTCGCTATAGGTTGCTTAGAGAACTGATTTTCTCTCTCACTGTATCTTTTTCAGTCCAGTGTGGGATTGCCCTTGGCAATCAAGTGGCATCATAGCTGGTAGGATATGAAAGGAGTACTTGAGCAGGTTTCCTGAGAGGCCTGCTTTCTGTTTCTGTGGGTTCAAATCTCTACCCGGGGAAGTGTAATTCCTCCAAAACTTGAATGAGCTCTAACCTCATAATCTTTCGTTTTACTGTTAAGTATCTTAGAATTTTTTAATGGTTGTCTTGTGTGGGTGTGCACACAACTGTCTACCTGTTTTCTTAGTCCTCTGGAGTTTACACTTGGATGATACTAACCCTTTGATGATACTAATTCTCACATTGTTTCTTGTGTGTGAAATAGTGAGGGCCTGCCTGCATTGATATTGTTAGGAGTTCTGGTGATTTATAGAGCACTGGGTCATATTGGGCTCTTATTAAAGACATTTTTTTCCAGCTTGCATTTTCTAAACCCAGCTAGTTTAGTCAGATCTTGTATGAGCCCCAGGGCAAACTCATGTAGCTTGTTAGTGGAGGTTTGAACATACATTGTATTTTAGGATTTGTATGTGATTGCATAAAATACTGTGCTTTGGCTCTTGGGGAACTTGTACTGGTAGAACAGTTGGCTGTGTCTCAGTAGCAAACATGGGATAGCATTAAGTACTGCCCTTTCTGATTCCCATCCATTTTGTCAGATTAGTTTGGGAAAGTTTGCCTGGGGTTGTAGGATAGTGTGCCTCAGAAATGTTTAGTGGTACTTTATTGGTGAGGAGCAGTGAATGTTCTTAGATTTTAGGATAGTGCCTGTGGAGTTTGTTTCTTAGGAATTCTAATATTTTGCATATTTAGTATATAGATGAAGGTTTTGAGACCCTACACATTCATGCCTTACTATGAAAAAAAAAGTTTTGACTTCTTTTTGTCTCAGAATTTGTTCTGTGACAGCCTTCCAGCCCATGGGGGAATAGTGCACACTGGTGACCTAACACTGCCATGTGTGTTGCCTTGTGTTCTTTTATTGACTTTCTCAGTACTTTGTTTTTCTTCCTGGGCTGGCATAGTCATATCTGTATATTTTTCAAATGGTATTTATATCAAATATTGTACAGAATAGTTATCCATTAAATTTTGAGTTGATTGGTTTACATGACTGTTAAGCAATTATAAATACTGTTTTGTGTTACTATTTTTTTATTATTGATGAAGAATGAACAGTGTTTTATGTTATGTTTTTACAGTGTGGAGTAATCAGCCCCAGATTTGATGTGCAACTAAAAGATCTAGAAAAATGGCAGAACAACTTGCTTCCGTCCCGTCAATTTGGGTGAGTCGATTTTCCTCAGTTAAAATAAGTTAAGACTAAGATTGCTGTGATGAAGTTCGATGAGCTGAGTTGTTGTTGTTGCAGCAGTAGAAATTGTCTACCTTCCCAACCAGCTTGACTCAAGGACTTGGCTCATGTGTAGCTGCATTACACGTGTTAGGGCTAGGATTCAGATTCTGAGAGGATGTGAGAGCTGAGGCTGAGAGACAGCAGATTGTATCCCCATTAGTGTCTACTCTTTTTGTTTATGTTTGATGTGATCCCCTCCTAAGGCCGAATTGCTAAGTGGCAGAAACAAGTCCATCAAGTTTATAGCAATGCTTTGATGCTTAAACTCCATGTCGGCTTTCCTGAGAGCAGAAAGTGACATTTTGAAAATAAGGAATGCAGTCTTTGCTTTCAATTAAGCTTAATAGCATTGTTTCTCAGTGTTAGCTCAGGGCAGAGCTGTGTGGCTGAGGTCTCTGGATCGAAGTCTTTTATTAGTTTAAATATTTTTATTGATTTCAGAGAGAAAGGAAGAGTGGGGGAGGGAGAGAGAGAGCCAGAAACATCGATGAGAGAGAATCATTGATCGGCTGCCTCCTGCACGCCCCACACTGGGCATCAAACCTACAACTTGGGCATATGCCCTGACTGAGAAATGAACCATGACCTCCTGGTTCATAGATCGATGCTCAACCACTGAGCCATGCCGGCCGGGCTGGATCTGAGTCTTGTTTCCGGTGCATGGCCAGCTTGTGGAGCCAGTGTTAGTTTCTGTGTCTGTTACAGGAAGATGACTTAAGCACTGATGAATGTTGGTGCCTTTCTGTACCAGAAATTGGCTTTATGTTGAACTATTTAGGAAAAACTCACCAGCATTTTTTTTTTAACTTTCTATAGTTTCATTGTACTGACAACCTCAGCGGGCATCATGGACCATGAAGAAGCAAGACGAAAACACACAGGAGGGAAAATCCTGGGATTCTTTTTCTAGGGATGTGATACATATGTGGAAATAAAATGCCTCAAAGGACTCTGGTGCTTCACTCAGTCGTTTTGAACTTGACAGCAGAGTGGCAGGAGCTCCTGCGGCGGTCGCAGCCTTTGTGTTATTTGGTGAATGCCGTTTCCCTGAAGTGACCAAGAAAGTCTTGTGATAACTCACTCATCACGCTCATGCTCAGCAGTGGATGGCGTCCGGCCCTGGATGGTTGCATCTGGGTTGGGGTCCAGGCGGTGAAGCTGTCCCTTTCTGGAAGGAGTGATGCCTTTCCTGTTTTTAGCTTGACATAGTGCTCATTTCAGGCCCTGTTGTTAACTGTCCTGAAAATACGTGGTTAACTATGACAGCTAGAGCCCACAGCTCACTAAGACCCATCTCAAAGTAAATTTGGATGGCCTGTCAGTAGCATTTTCGCAGTGTGTTTGTAAAACGGCATTTTAAAAACTAGTTTTACTGTAAACCTGTCACAACTGTATTCCTGGAGTTGAGTGAATGAGTTTGCTGGACCATTTTACCTGGAAATGCTTATAGAGAGGGCAGGCTGGCTTCTGTGAAATAGATGAGGGCTCCGCTCCCCTTTTATAACATTTTGTGTTCAGAATGTTATAATTTTAACATGTAATTGATACGAAGTGAGTGGAATTTTACCCTTTGTAATAAGTCTTTGAAATCATGTATATTGTACATTTATTTACACTTAAAGCACACTTTAATTGGGATAAGCCACTTTTAATTAACCACATGTGGCTGGTGGTTCCATATTGGACAGCCTAGATTAGCCTCAATATTTTGGTAGTCCTGTGGGTCTGGCCAAGGAGAAAGGAGGCTTGGAAGAGAACCCAGGTACTGTGCACCTAGCCAGCTATTGCCTGGCATGGGAGTGGAATGGATGGGACAGCTCAGCCTTATAAAACAGGATAGCAGCTACTTTTCCTTAACCCTTTGAGTGCCAACCAATATCCTAGGAACTATGCTAAAATTGCCAAGGCATTTTTGCTGATTTTACAGCAGTTTAGGAAAAAAATTACGAATCGCAAGTAAATGAAGTTATATATTCAAAAACTTAAGGAAACCTTTACTACATTGACGTATTTAGCCATATCATCACCACTAATAAAAGCAGACTTGGAACTGGACGCCATTTCAAAGTTTTGATAGCGCTCCCGGCACTTTTGGTGAAAGACAGGAGGAGCGCAGTCGCGCTCCCCAGCACTCTAGGGGTTAATTGTCTTCTAGTCAAGGGTGCCAAAGTAGAACAATGGCTGCCACATTGCAGGTCTGGTTACAAAATATCCAGTAGTCCTAATAGGATGCTGTTAAGTGCTAACAGCTGTTTGATGTTGTATAAATTGGTTTTTCTCTTTTCAGAAAAGGATGTTTCACTGTTAACCATTGGGATTATTTTGGTAACTATTCTGTAGGGCTACTTTGGGACTAACATGGTTCAGGCAGTTCTCACTGAGCACTCTGTTTCAGCCTGGGTGGGGATGGTCAGTCATCACTGACCTGGTGGAAGGTGATCTTTCCTGCAAGTGACAGCTGAGTCCCCTTGTCAAAAGGGAGAACCTTCTTCATGGGGTTGGTAAATGAAAGTACGTAAAATGGCCCGGGGCCAGCATTCAATAACAACTTCTGAAAGAAGGGCCTACTGGAAAATGTGGGGAATAGCTAGGGATGCCAAGACCAACAGACGTGGCAAGTAACCCCATTTTTAGACTCCACCTGTTAAAATGTTAGGAGACAGGCATTGAGAGACAGTGTCTGGGTTTGAGGCTCTGATTGGAAGGCCCCCAATCACTTGATGCTCATAAATACAGTGTGTTTGTCAGGTACAGAGGTGAATCCAGAAGAATCTTCAAAGAGCTGATTGTTGATTGTTTCTCTTAATGCCAGGATTTAATATGGAAGGATAGGGGCCATGTTTTTGTTAACTTGTATCTGGTCCCTAGCATGATGCCTGGCCTAGAGCGGGTGCCTCAATAAGTACATGTTGAGTTGAAAGACTCCTCTTAATGGACACTGACTACGAATATTAAAATAGGCAAGAAAATGGCTCCATTTGCCATAAGATAGTGAGGGTCAATCCTAAGTCCTTTGATGTGGTTAGGGATGGAAAATGGTAGGAAAAATTGGATGACCAGTTGATTAAATAACACATGTTCTTTGTGTTAATGAGAAGGCAGATGGCCTTAGTCCATGTTTCTGAGACCCAGTAAGTAGAATTCTAACATGGCATGGGGCTGGTTGGCTGGGGCTAGCTAGACCCAGGTTTTGAGGGTCTGGAGACAGATTAGGTTCCTGCTCGCAGGATAGTTTGGCACAAGCCAGTTGTACCTACTGTGATGAGAATCCAGCCTTCCCTACAACATGCTGCTGCTGCAGACCTAGAGGTTGGGGTGGGTGTGACAGCATCTCGATCATCTGGGCCCACCAGATGCACTTGAAGTCGGTGTTAAAGGAACATTAGCACATACCAAGACCCTGGAATCTATAGGTAGATGTCAGGGAAACAACTTTCTGAAAATACATGCAAAATTAATATCCATGCATTTTTCTGGAGAGACATTCTATAATAAGGCCTTTGAACAGGCTGAAGGAAATCTAATTCAAGAGGCCAAACCACTGCTAAGGACAGCACACACGGCACGTCAGGGCATGCTGTGTTCTCATTTGGAGACTTGCATATTCCTGGTTACTGGTGCCTCGGTTAGCAGTGCTGGATAGAAGAGCACTGTTCTCTGGGCAAGGTGAGGCTGCAACCTACATCTCGTTACTTTTTCTTCATCCCAGGCTAGGAAGTTGACCCTGAAGACAAAATCCGATTCTCATGTGGCTTTCCAGTTTCATCTACTGCCTCCCAAAACATGCCTGCTAGTCCTAAATCCTTGACACCGAATGTGCCCCACCTCAGCTTTTGCTTACACTCACCACACCTGGAAATGCCTTTTGAGAACTGTCCCTAAGAGCCAGGTTAAAGGTCACTTCCACCATAAATCTTCAAAAGGAATATGTTTGATACTTTTTTTCCTCCTAAACATACAAATGCCTTGCAGTGGTTCTCAACCTTCCTGATGCCTCGACCCTTTAATACAGTTCCTCATGTTGTGGTGACCACCAACCATAAAATTATTTCCGTTTCTACTGTTATGAATCGTAATACAAATATCTGATATGCTGGATGTATTTTCATTGTTCGCGACCCACAGGTTGAGAACCGCTGCATAGTGCTTGTAAAATGTTTACTGTATGCCAGGCATGGAACTCGGTAAGCTTTATAGTATCTCATTTAATCTTAACAATTCTATATCATGGCTACTGTTAATGATTCCGGTTTCTCAGGTAAATAATGAAGCACAGCTGTGAAGTTGGTTGTTCAAGATGCTAGAAAGTGGCAAAGTCTGGATTTAAATGCGTTTAAACACCAGCCCTTAATATGTCCTATCATGCATTTTTGTTTTCACTAGTGTTAGATATGTCCAGGCACTAGGGGTGAGTACAAGTGCAAAAACATCTCTGTCCTGGTTGGAGTTTGTTACAGATGAAGTCCTCCACAGCAGGAACCCTGTTACTCATCTCTGTCCACAGCATTTAGCCTACCTAAGGGGATATCTGCAGGCTTAAAGTCCTCTCTGACCCTCATTGTGGGAGAGCAAGCTTTTTAAAGCGGAGTCCTATCCAGTGCTATAGTGTTCTGCCCACAGAATTCAATGGACCCAAAAATCCGAGTGGGCAACATGGAGTAGAGTGGAATGTGGGCAGGATTCAGTTTAAGGTCACAGTTCTGGCACCCAGTTTCCCCTTTTTATGTTTTAAGTGATCAAATAGGCAGTGGAAGTGCTAAAGAGCACCCAGAAGATAAGCCAAGGAAGGCAGTGAAAAATATTAAGAGAATGAACTTTGGAGTCAGATGCTGGCTTCATTCATTAGTCTCTGTGATTTGGGGCCAGTTGCGTTGCCTGTGTCAGTTTCCTCACCTTTAATATAGGGATGATAGTAATGCTTCCTGTAGTGGTTGTGAAGATTAGATATGATTTTGAAGTGCTGGCGTGGTAAAAAGTAGAGCTGCTTGCAAAATACTCAGGTTCTCTCCCTGCTAGGCACATGCACTTTCCATGTCATTCTGGCCAATGAATGAGCTGTGAGAAGTGAGATGTGTTACTTCCAGGCTGAAGCATTTAGTGACTGGTGTGAGATGTACTTGTCTTTCTCCCGTGGTGATGGGCTCTGTGCCAGAGAATAGCTGCCCTGTTAGCCCAGGCCTGGGGGCCAGGGTGACCATGCAGAGACCCAGCCACCCAGCAGTGGGAATGTAGGAAGAGCAAGAAGTCACCGTGGATTTGGGTTTGTTATTAACCTGATACAAATGCTTAGAGCAGTCTCTGAAATTAGTAACTTACAAAAAGGAAATGGGTGGGATATGAAGTAAAAGGGATTGGCCTTTGAGTGGATATCAGGAGACTATCCACACCCACACTGAGGCTTTCTCCATTACCTCCCATTTTCCTTCTCTTCCATGCATGCACAAGGTTCTCAAACACTCCAAACTCCCAGCCCTCTGGCACAGATATTCAGCCCTTGGATGGGGCACCTGCATCAAACCCTGTTGAAAATACCTTAGGATGTTTTGAACCAGGAAGAGGTGAGGGTTATCTCTTTAAAATGGTGGAAATTCTAAGATAACAACCTTGAGGTCTGTTGATTGTCATAATTGCCATGTGGACAGCCAGCTGGATGTTTTATGAACAGCACAGAAGAGACGGATCAGGTCCTCATGGTGCTTGAGTTTGGGCTTCCAGTTGTTCCTGCGGAGCATCTATACCCTTGCCCTTCCCATGTCTGTATTTTGTGAGCAAGGAATAACAAACACCCTCTTTTAAAAAGTACTAGTTTGAGCCAAATTTAAATTTAAAATAAATTCATAAAGCTGAATTCAAATTTATTAGTTTGAGCTATATTATAGTTAATTGCAAACTAACACGACCCAAACTCACTGATCTACTCTGGGACTTCTTGGGGATTAGTCTCATCATC